AATAGGAAGAAATGGAGGGTTCTAAGGAAACAGCATGTTTAGGTTGGTGGGCTGATTTTGACTAGAATAGAGTTACTTTTCTTCACAGTAGCTGGTATGGGGCTATGTTTTGGATTTGTGCTGAAAACAGTGCTGGTAACAAAGGGATGTTTTTGTTACTGCTGAGCAGTGCTTACACAGAGCCAAGGCCTTTTCTGCTTCTCACCCCACCCCATCAGCGAGTAGGCTGGGGGTGCACAAGAAGTTGGAGGGGAGACAGCTGGCCCAAATTGACCAAAGAGATATTCCGTATCATATGCTGTCATGTTCAGCAACATCAAGCTGGGGGAAGGAGGAGGAATGCGGAGATGTTCGAAGTGATGGCGTTTGTCTTTCCAAGCCACTGTTATGTGGGATGGAGCCCTGCTTTCCTGGAGATGGCTGAACACCTGCCTGCCAATGGGAAGCAGTGGATGAATTGCTTGGTTTGCTTTGCTTGCGTGCGCGGCTTTTGCTTTACCTATTAAACTGTCTTTATCTCAACCCATGAGTTTTCTCACTTTTACTTTTCTGATTCTCTCCCCCATCCCACTGGGGGGACTGAGCAAGCAGCTGGTGGGGCTTAGTTGCCGGGTGGGGTTAAACCACAACAGTTGGGTAGCACGGAGTCCTGCAGAAACACGCAAGGTAGCTCTCACAAGACCAGCGTGAGAAGTAGGAGGGCACGAGTCTCTCAGCATGCAGCCCTGCTGGAGCTGACTAGCCCTCCTGTGTGCCAGACGAAAAAACCATTCTGTTTCTGGAATCAGCTAGTGTTGCTAGATACCTGTACAAATATCTGTACAGTGTTGGTAAATTGGCTGTTAAAACCTCCAAGCAGAGAGGTTGCTTACATTTCTTCCTCCTCTAGAAAAGATTATATGGACATATAGGCCAAGGAAGAAAGAAACATCATTCCTGATTTTCTTCCTCCTTTCCAAAGTATTGAAGTGCATTATCTGTCTCCAGACTGAAATGATCGTGGCCTGCAATATACAAATCCTCTATTGTAGTCTGCATTTTCTTGGGTTTTTCAGACAACAGCAACCACTGAGATCTACAAACAATTTAATCATATTTAGCATAAGAATTTAATGTCTCATTGACTTCAGGGACTGCCAAATAATAGACTGCTCTAATAACTAGCTCTGTTGTCTGTTTTCCATTTCTGTGAGCAAACTGGAAGGACCACCTGAGTTATAGAGCTGCTCATAAAACATCTAAATAAAGACACAAGTAGATGTTAAAAGTAGTATATAAAGTTCCTTTAAAAGCATTTAAGTTCACATCCTCTTCTCTTGATGGTTGCTACACTTGAAAGAAAAAGAGTTCCACAATTGGATTTTAGGACACTTAGCACAGCAAAATGACCTTGAGAGATTATGTAAAAGTGCTGAAAAGCTTGATACAATTCTTTAATGACAAAGAAAACTTAAATCTCTGACATTCTTTTACCATATCTTAGCTTTCAATTTTGAAGAAAGACTGTATCTTAGGAGACAACTACAAACCCACTGAAGAAATGAACAGATCATTACACTTCTCTGGATTCTTCCACTAATCTCCAAAGAGAAAGTTTTGTTCAGTGTTCGTGGATTACTTGTTGGAAATGTGTCAGACCTCACTGAGTAGTTTCCTCATAAAGGCAATCAATTTACTAGTGTGGTTCTGAGTAAGGAAAGAACTGAAGATTCTGGGACATTCAAGCTGGGCAGTAAGACTATGTTTGCATGAGTGCAGGGAGGTTTCATTCCCTATGGTGAATCATGGGAGTAGAAACCTGTTAGAAAAATGAGGGGTGGGGAGGGATACACATGTGTGTAATGTTTTACATTAGCTATGGAAGGGGAAGGAGAATGAGGTGTACCTCCAGTAAGAGCATGATTCCTGACAGGAGATGATGAGAATTCAAAAGAGATGGTTTTCTTTTATGTTTTCAGTGTAGCTATGATAGGGAGATGGATGCTAGTAATGGGAGGAGCTCTTCCTAACTGATGCTTTTTAATTTTGATACACGAGCAGATTTAGCATCCGTGGAATGTGGAGAAATGCTCAGTGAAGTGGCACTTGCTATGAGAAACATCTCTGTAGTCACACAAGGCTAAAACCAGCAGACTGAATGCAACTTCTTATTGTAACATCCGTGTGAGGAGGGGCAGATGGAACTGAATGCATCAATTACTGATATATCAGTATCTGCTACAGAGGTATTACCTGACTGCCACAGCTGCTGAAAATATATATATGAGAAGAATCAGGTTGAAAAACAGACTTGGGCAACAAAGACTGGTTTTGGTCACTTTCTGCCACCAATGTTAGAAAGTCTTTGCATGTTTCTCAGTAAGTGATGCCAACACATGGAAAACCAATCTGGTTCGAGGAACATGAGGCAGAGGGACACCAGAAAGTGTCATGCAATTGCATGATTAGGAGAAAGCAAATGCAGAGGAAATGTTTTTCCCCTTTGTGAAAAAAGCTAGAGTTCCACATTTTTCTCATCTGTGTTCTCCATCTCTTGGACACCGAGAGCAGTACGTTTGCTTGTTCTCTGTTCATCTCCTAAGGAAAAGAAACAATCTGAATGCAAGACCTGTGCTTAGTGTAAGGCCTGGGTGACTCATATAGATTGACTTCAGTCTTTTTGAATCACAGGTAACCATGCATTGGACGTTGAGCTGAAAAGTGTCTGGAGGAACATCTCAATGCCTGTATACTGCAAAAGCCACCCCAGTCTTCCTAGTACTCTATACATTTCCTTTACTTGCTTTGTACATAAAAAGGCAATTTACTGTAGTATATCCATTGTCTGAATTCACTCTGTTGCATTGTTTTCTTGAGTCTATACCAGTGCAGATGTGGGAAGATTCTTTAGAGTATGATATTTAAGTAAAATTTTAGCTAGCTTGTAGTCAGGCTCTGGCTTTCTCCCCTTCCCTGACTCGTCTTCCTTCAGTGTTCACTGGTGCTATGCCTGCCATTCTTTGTCACCCTCTGTGCCTCTGTGTGTAAAGATGCTCACTATTGATGAGAGCAGTTTAACTTACTGTACAACATTCAGGGTAAGATGTGATATTTTGGAAGGGGAAAGATGCTGTTTGAATATGGTATTTTATAATGTGATACTCTTGGTAATTTCTGAACCCATTTTGTCATCTTTTGACATTTTAAAATATCTTCATTATTAAAAAGGGGAGTGGAAGAGTGAATGACACTGTGGCCAAATCACACATTTTTGCTTTTGATAGCTTTTGGTCTTTGCTAGGGTTATTTTTTATTTTCCAGGTACAAGGAAAGTTCCCTGGTTGCTCTGAGACCTAATTGATTCATAAACCAAGTTGAGCAAGGCAAGTGTGTAATTGTATCAGAAGCGCTGAAAGTTGTCTTCCACAAGATAAGACTCAAAAAGCTTAAATATTGACCTCAGTTTTCTCAAAACTTGATCAGGATGCAGAATTCTACTTAGGAAAACGAAAAGAAAAATTGTTACATTCCCAATGTGCGTTATTGTATGTTACTACTTTTAAGTCTGTTCTCATTGCTGCTGACGGATTTCTTTTTTTTTTTTTTTCCAGAAAAGTTAAAACACACAGAAATTGGCCAAACTTAAAAGCACATGTGGTTTTGTTAGCCTGACCTCTTTAAAATCAATGGAAGACTGGCCTTTGACTTCATTAGGGCCAGGAGTTCACCAATAATTCCTATAAATAAGGATATGAAATACTGCTGGAAACAGTTGGGGAAAAGTACTCTGAGCAGACATAACTGTTTTGGTATTTCTGTTTCTCTTTCAAACCAATCTTTTTTTAAATGCTCTTTAAAATTTTAATAGCAATAACGTGGACTTTCACAAAAAAATATTTATAAACCACCTGTATATTAAAAGTAACAGCTAATCTGTACTTCTTCAGTAAAGGAAAGCAGAGGCATGCTGAAGTATATGAAATATCAGGCAAATCCCTTTCCTCAATGTTAAAATAATTTGCAGCTTTGCTTTCAGTGGTACATTTTCTGAGTGGGTTGAGCTCTCCCTAAGTAATTAATAACTCTTAAGCTGTCTGAATAGTTTCCCTTGAGTTGCATCATATAATGTGTCATATGAAAACAACTTGAGGCCTAATGTAACATGAAACTGTATAGTGCATCTTAATGTGATTTGAGAAAGACGGATGGGAAGGAAATAATTTCTTATTCTGGGTAACAAACAGCTGTTCTTAACTTTTATTTGAAAAGAATGTAAAATAGCCTTTTTAGACAGAGATTGGTATATTGTTCTAGTTAGTTACTTTCCCTTCTCCCATTGTACCAGTCAAGGTAGGCAAAAGCTAAGTCTCAAAAATTTAGTAATTTGATGTAGAAATATTGAGAATAACATGTAGATTTTTTTGTATTTGGTCACCTGAGCTTTACTTTTTTATTCATAATGGATCTCAGTTTAAATCCCTTAGCAAACACGAAAAGGTTAAGATTTCAGTGTCTCTGCCAACATAGTCCTAAATAAATCATTACCCACCACAGGAAAGTTGTTTAAACTAACTTCTTGAGCTCTGGTCACAAAATTATTGTAACATTGTCATATTACAAGTGACATATACCAGGTAATGGTATATGTCAGCTGGAAAAGATATGTCTTGCCATAAACTCTAAACATCTCTCACTTCACTCTCAGGAAATGTAAGTTGGCTCATCTTTCTCTTCTTGGAAGATATTCAGCAAGCTGGAGGCTTCGTTGATACTTGTAAATACGGAAGTTTATCATGCACTGTAGTATATTCTCATTCGATATGGAACAATTAGAGTTCATAAGATTTAAAAATAGATGCTGCTTTTCCATTAGTGATTTTTTAAAAATAAAAACAAAAGGTAAATAAAGGATTGCCTTACTAAATTTGATATGGGTAACTCAATGCTGCTTTACAAAGATAGAACTAAAGCTGTTTATAGCACAGTGAATACACAGTTAATTCATTCATAATTATTTTAGCATGGTGGCACTAGGAGAACCAGCTGGTATCTGCATTTCAGAAATTTTCAGAACTTTTGAGGAAACAAATGACTTGGCAAATATTTTGCCAAAAATCAGTCAATACTTCATCATTACAAACAGTGGAAGGTATGTACAAAAACAGGTATAAAATTCATGGGAAATCCCTGTAACTGCTCTTGTAGTAACCGCATAATGTACAGTCTGTGTTATGCTGGGACCACAGCACTTGTTTTTAGGAGAAAATATGGCTACATTAATCCAGTAAAAAAGAGAAAAATGCAACAAAAGCCTTTGCAACTCTTGAGTATACATGTTTTGATCGAGTGGCACACAGTTGTTGCAGGAATATCAGTGTATATTTATCGACATTCTGGACACATCTGCCTGATGCTTCAACCTGTGGCACATTAAGACATACTCGAATGTCTGGATTTGTAACATATAATATGTACAATCTAAAACCTTGTATTGTTAGGGATTGTCCTGCATGTTATCTTTGGTCTCTTCAATCTGCCAGCTGGGGCCTCTGTAATTTACAGTGCTCCTCAATCCAGCAGGCTAGGGTGCTGTAAATTCAAGCCTGTGCATTCAGTTCATGTGCTTCAATTCCTGGTATTGTTTTCAGCAGTTTCCACCAAGGGTGTGCTTCGCGTTGAGAACACAGTGCTCCATTCATCAACTTTCGTTTTTTATTGTATACTACTGACAATATGGACAGAGGGAGAAAATCAAACTGTCTAAATTCCACCTAAAATATAATTTAGTCAGACTTTAGGTGCCTGAGTCTCAGAGAATGATTCAAATTGCTTACTCTCAAGCACCACCTAACCCCTGGTGGCACCTCAAATGAATAATTTTGGACAACACATTTCCTCCGGCGTCTGGGCATAAGTTCCAGGGAAGCTCAGAAGCACCATGGCTAAAGCAGCCAGGCATGTAACTCCCACCCAAGTTTCATTGTGACTCAAAGATGTGTATAGAGGTGCCTGAACTCTGCCTATGTCCCCAGAGATGCCAAAGCTGTTGACTGTGCTTAAATTGCACATCATAAGATTGGACAGCATTGAATTCAACACAAACCACAGCAGTCATGAGCACTTTCAGTGTAGAAGAGGGAGAGAGGACATTTAAATAGCCTTAAAGGTTAGAGTAGTCATCCAGGAAGGATATCTGCTTTGGATTGTCCTAACCTAAGGAAGCTCAACAGGAATGGGAGAACTTGACTGTTACCCCACCGTTAAGGATATTTCCTGGGAGAGGAAAATCTCAAATTCGTATCTTTGCTCTCAAGTCGGATTATGTATTTTGGGTCAGATACTTTTGTCAAAAAAAAAAAAAAAAAAAAAGAGCATCCCCTGTGTCAGAGATCCAGTGTCAAATATACCCTCATTTGCCTGTCTGTTTTAACTTGCAAGTTCTTTCTTGATGTCTTTATAGGTGAATTTGCACACCTGTTACTTCCTACCTATATTTCTGTAATGTTAGGGCTTTCTTAAAACCTGTCTTTTCTCTTACTGCTTTTGTCTTAGACACCATGATGCACTACTCTAAGTTTATGTTCTCCGTGTTTGTCCTTTACGTCTGTAGGCTTTGAGGTGAGCTTGGTACAGGTTTCCTTCATCCTTGTTCTCTCTGATTTTCCTATTGTTCTTTCCCTGTGCCGTACGGAAAGGGTAAATATTCTGTGAGGAAGTACTTGTTGAGCTGTGGACATGTGAAACAACTTGCTTTTGTGTTTTTCATTAACATTTAATGCCACTTCATCACTGTTTTCACCCTGCACATGACTTCTCATTAGTTTTCTCATTAGTTTTTAAATGTTAGTAGATAAGACCAGACGAAACAGTATATTGAATGTTCAAACAACTTTTGAATTTCAAATTCAATTTGTGTAAAAATTTTGTTTTGGCTTTTCTCATGTTCCAATATGAGGTTTTATGTTCACATTTCTGTTTAGCCTTTTTTTTTTTCCTCCATCAAGTGTCACTATATATTGATTGTTTAAAACTTATACTTTACCTATTTCTGAGGAGTTTTAAAGAACTTTATGGAGTAGAAGATACCACGGTAGTAATATTACTTAATTTTTGGCATAGTATCTTACTGGTTGTCCATACCTAAGTCACTTCAATGCTAGATACATGTTTTTTATTCTTTTATGTTCACTTGAAGCCATTCAGGGTGCAAGAGCATATGGGAAATGTGTATAGTAGCAGACAGTATGCTGGTTTTCTGAGTGTTTTATCCCTTCATTTTTTTCCTTTTAGCATTCACTGTCTGTCTGGAAGGGGTTGAGTGTTAAGTGCATACTTCATACTTCTGTGATCTGTTAATGACTTTTTAGTCACCCAGGAGTGTTCATATAGTTACACAATGAGAACTCTTCTCAGAATAAAGACATTGCTTCTGTTAAGTTATGCCTTGGTTATACAGTAGTTGTATATCAAATTTATGCTGTTTGTTGGCCAAACACTGAAAGTGCTTTCTCACAGGGTTGTGGAATAATCACCGTTCTTGGAGGCTTTCAAAGGTCAGCTGGACAGAACTTACAGTCATTTGATAAAATTTTCAGGTTGGCCGTGCTTTGAGCAAGGGGTTAGATCCATTGGCCTTCAGAGATACCTTCCTTCCTAAATTATTTTGTGAATCTAACTGAATTTATCCTTGATCCAATTCTACTTAAATCTTACCTCTTTAGTTGACTTCACTGAAATCAGTGTGGTGCCCATAGGAATTAATTTGACTTGGTCTGCTTTTCTCGTTTCACCCAATACAGTTTTCTCTGTCAGCTCAAAGGTAAGAGAAGCTAGAGTGAACTCCTGTCCTATTTCATAATGCTGGTCCATACCTTAACTCTTGTCCTGTTTCCCAAGTGGTTTGATAAACATGGGTTTGATAATTATCTTGAGGAAGATACTTGTCCTGTTTCCCAAGTGGTTTGATAAACAGGAACAGTGTTTGATAATTATAAACATGGGTTTGATAATTATCTTGAGGAAGATATTTTTTTTTTATGATGTGCACTCACACACAACTGAATTTTTTTGAAAAAACTCTGAAAGAAACACTTAAAATGTTCAAAGACTAATACTTTCATTCATTTAAACAGCTCTTAACGTGTCAGGGAGGCTTACAGTTAAACCATATCCTCAAGTAGATCATCAAAGACTAATACTTTCATTCATTTAAACAGCTCTTAACGTGTCAGGGAGGCTTACAGTAAAAAGCAGTGATGTTGCAGGAAAAAAAAAAGAAAAAATTGCTCCATATTTACTAGAATACCTACTCTGTTCAGAAACTACTTCTGTTTGTTTTACAGACTTATCATACCAATCATGGTTTCCCCTCCTTTCATTTGATGAAGAGTTCTGATATCTCCCTTCCACAGTTGTCTGCTCTTTGTCTGTTAATGTAAACTCCCCCGTGTCTCCCAATATGGAACTTAACTGGGAAAGTTAATTGATTTTGGAGACCTAATCAGAGGCTCCCACAGCCAGATGTCCTGTCTAGGTTACAGCTGTAAACCTGAGATGCCATGTCCTTAGCTTGCCTGGAGTGCTGAAAACCACAGAGCTTATCCCATGTCCACATAGTTTACTGTTCTGCAGAGACACACTCGTGTATTATTACTGATGCCTGATGAAGTTCTATTCCTTATAAATCATAAACATATTCTTTGCCCAGAGAAGTTGTGGATGCCCCATCCCTGGAGGTGTTCAAGGCCAGGTTGGATGAGGCTTTGGGCAACCTGGTGTAGTGGAGGATTTCCCTGCCCATGGCAGGGGGGTTGGAACTAGATGATCTTTGAGGTCCCTTCCAACCCAAACCAATCTATGATTCTATGATTCTATGCTGTAATTAAAATACAGAGTAGAATGAAATCTAGATCCAAGTCCTGTAAAGCCTATTCACTTTTGTCTTGCCTTTTGACATTGAAACATCTATAGCTGCACAACAGAGCGTATGGGTCCAGTAACAATGTGGGAGAGCAGCCAATTTGGTCCTGGGATTAAAAAAAGAATCAGCTGTGGGAAATAAGCCAAAGAAGTGTGATTCCTGCATAAGGGACTTAAGTAGGTGTTAGTCCGTAAAGAA